GATGCCACGACCCTCTCATTCAGTTCCTCATGTGGCGGTCACCCCATGATGTAGGGCAGTGGTTCCCCACCTTCCCGATGCCACGACCCTCTCATTCAGTTCCTCATGTGGCGGTCGACCCCATGATGTAGGGCAGTGGTTCCCCACCTTCCCTATGCCACAACCCTCTCATTCAGTTCCTCATGTGGCGGTCACCCCCCAACCATAACATTATTTTCATTGCTACTTCATAACTGTGATTTTGCTACTGTTATGAATCGGGCGACCCCCAACGGGGTCACCACCCACAGGTTGAGAACCGCTGATAAGGGGAAAATTCTCACTATAAAGCTAGTATTTCTCATAGTCATTTTAAAAAGACGATAAATGCCTCCTGGATGTTACATAGTGTGTTTCTCAGTAACTGCTATTTAACCAGTAACTATATGTGTTTTAATCTGTTGTAGAGCTTGCTTGTAACTAGGAGACTCTTCTGCTAACCACATCATTCCTTCCCTTTCCTTTAAATAATCAAAAGGCTTGAATAACCCACTGCCTTTGAGTTGATTCAGATTCATAGGAACCGTCTAGCACAGTGAACTGCTCTCTAAGGTTCGGAGGCTGAAATGTGAAGAGCAGACAGCTTCATCGGACACTTTGATCTTTATTCATCTGAATGAACCAGATCTCGTCCTCTTGTCTCAGCCGGGCCAATATACCGTTTCAGTCTGTCCATATCCTTCATAGATATCCAGGCCTGTCCTGCTTTTCCATTGTTCAGTCACTTCAGGGTTGATTGGCTCTCCAGCGCTCACACAGTGCTTTAAGCTTTTGAACTTACAGTTTCTTAGAAAACAGATAACAAGTTAGGTTAGGTTAGGAGGAAAAATGGCAAGAAATGGAAATTCAGGATGCATCAAGTCTCCCTTCCCCAATATACCCTGAACACTGGTGTGTCTTTGCTCCAAAACGGGAGACCAGTTGTAGCAATGAAAAGCCATGCTATCACAGGCTTCGCTTGGGAACACACTAGTTGTCATACCATTGATTCCAACTCGAGGTGACCCCACATGTGTCAGAGCAGAACTGTGTGTGCTCCACAGGGTTTTCAGTGGCTGATTTCTGGAAGTTGATCACCAGGCTTTGCTTCGCAGGTGCCCCTCGGTGGACTTGATCCTCTAACCCAGTGGTTCTCAACTTTCCTCATGGTGTGACCCTTTACTACAGTTCCGCATATTATGGTGACCCCCAACCATAAAATTATTTTCATTGCTACTTCATCACTGTAATTTTGCTACTGTTATGAATTGTCATGTAAATATCTGATAGGCAGGATTATTTTCATTGTGACAAATGGAACATAATTAAAGCATAGTGATGAATCACAAAAACTATGTAATTATATAATATGAAATATTTATTTCTAATAACAAATGAGATTTTGTCTTGAAGCATGGTGTAGCATGGGTAACAGTCTTCACACTAGGTACTCATAGGTGGGTGTATCTACATGTGGGCGGATAGTCTGGAGACAGCTAGAGGACCGGTGTCTCAGTTCCTAAGACCATTGAAAATATGTGTTTTCTGCTGCTCGTAGTTGACCCCTGTGAAAGGGTAAGTTCGACTCCCAAAGGGGTCGCGACCCACAGGTTGAGAAAGGCTGCTCTAACCTTTCATTTACTAATAAAGGATTGTTAACTGTTTAAGCCAGTAATTAAAAGTTTACCAGTTGTCTGATAAAATTGTGAAATGATAAATGGTTATAAAAAGAACAAGGAAGCTCCTAGGTAGTGCGCCTAATAGAACATTCTGCCATGAAAGAAATGCTCTCCAATACAGTACTCATGAGCCTTCTGTGGCTAGTGAGCACTTGAAACATGGCTGAAGAACTGAATTTGAAATTTGATTTAATTCAAATTTAAATAGTCACATGCAGCTAATGGCTACCATATTGAACAGCACAGTTTCAGGATATATGAGGGGGCTTCAAGAAGTTCCTGGCAAATGGGATTAAAAGATAATGGAATTTTTCCGTGAACCTTTTGGAGCACTCATATTGTGAAAGGGGGAGAAAACAAGGTACAAAACTTTGTGCATATTATGCTATGTCTTTAAAAGAGAGGGGCAGAAAATATGCATTTTGACTTGTATATGCATAGATTTTAAGAAGGATGTATAGAAATTAGAAACATTGATTGGTTCTGTGGAGGAGGAAAACTGGGTGACTAAGAACAAGGATTAGAGGGGGACTTTTCACCGTATGGTCTTATATACCTGTTGAGTTTTATATCATGTCATTGTATTCTCTATTCCAAAATTAAATCAACTTTTAGGAGTTTACTAATCTACCCTTTCCAATGGAATCAGCAATAAAGTAAAGGACATTCATCTTCCTCCTTATTTGCTGGAAGAGAGTTCCAAATAAGAGCAACTTCTCTACTTTCTCAGCTCAGGTAATAGCCGCCACCCAAAAGGTTCAGTAGCTTGTCACACCATACCCCCTGGGCTGAGCTCCCTAAAATATAATGCTCCCAATGCTGCCCTTATTTGGGGAGCTCAACATTTTATAAATATCTATAATCATTGATAGAATATTAGCAAGAAGGAGCAGGAGGAAGAGAAAGAGATAGCTAAATCCTTTATAACGTCCTTTTCCCGCTTTCCCTACCCCAAGCCAAACCCACTGCCATAGAGCCGATTCCAGCTCCTAATTCCCCTACAGAGGAGCAGAGCTGCGCCGCAGGGTTCCCAAGACTGTAAATCTTTAGGGAAGGAGACTACTAAGCCTTTCTCTCGTGGAGCAGCTGGTGGGCTCAAGTGGCCTGCTTTTCAGTAGCAGCCACACATTTAACCACTACCCCACCCCGGCTCCTCCCTTTCCCCCCACAAAGTGTCGATGCATCCATTTTTCTTACCTAGTCAAATCATCCTGAACAAGCATTCGGTATGCAGTTGGAGCCGAACAAAAGACAGTGATGGGAAACTTGGAGAGAGTCTGAAATTTAGAAGAAGTGAACTCTTGGCCTTACAACTATAATAAGTACGTAAATGGTAGGCAACAGGAGCCCTTGTTCATTTCCACATAAGTGCACCCTCATGCCTTTGCATAACTTTTCAGACTTACTTTCCACATGTGAAATCCCTTACATCATTTCATTTACTCTGATGTCTATAAGTGGCTGCATTTGTTAATTCTGGCCATACATTTTTAAATGCTGGCCTTGGGTTCTGCCTTACTTGCACAATAGAAGTTGGCTCAAAGCGTGGCAAATAATGTGCAAATACACATGCTCCCTGGATCCATGGAGAAAAGACACTACTCCAGGCAGACTTTGCCCAGCCTGTGTCTGAGGTATTCCACATCACATCGGAGGGTGTCAAGTCCAGCCAGAACCTGGGAAAACAAAGAACAGCCCTGATATAGATGGGGCCAGGGACTAGAAAAAGCCAGCAAATGAATTGTCCCTCTTATAGTTTTGACACATCAAGCTGCTGTGCTGTGGAAATACCTTCCATTTACAGATAACCCTATACCAAAACTGCCGTGGGTGTGTTCGGTCATCTTAGGAGATCCACTGGTTCCACTGGTAAAGTAAATGGCCATTGGCTCATTGTGCTTTGTCTTCACACAGGTGTGTTTATCACTGACATGTCTACGAGAGAAAACAACAGGTCCCCATCAAACACGGTGTCAAAGACCATTCCCACGCAAAGAGACTGCAGAACTGACCTCTTCATCTCATGGGTCAGTGCCCAGTTGACCTAGGTTCAATGTCAAGTTAAAAAAGCCACCTCTCCATCTGTTTAGGTGCTTTCTGGAATCACGCTAAAACTTTGCCATCAATGCAAAAAGTCAGTTTTTCCTGTTTGATGACATGTGGAAGCATTTGAAGTTCTCAAGAACTTCTTATGATCTTGTCATCACAGGTACATGAAGACCTACCCCTTCTGCTCCAGTGTAAAAATACTTTAAAAATGATTTTTGTTAAAAATTTGAGTATGTTAATAGAAGTCAGTTAATGGTATAAAGCAGGAGTTACTAACCTGTAGCCAACAGAGCAGATTGGGCCTGCTTCCTGTTTTGTTTTGTTTTCTTTGCAAATATAATTTGGAAAACAGCCATGTCCATTCATGTATGTATTGTCTATAGCTGTATATATATCTATATCTATATAGATATAGGTATGATGCAATAGAAGAGTTGAATAGCTGCAGTAGGGATTATATGACCTACAAAGCTTAAGATATTTACTATCTGCCCTTTTATTTTTTAATGTAATATTTATTTGGTGAATTTACATGCGAGGTAATTTGCAGAGGAAAAGATACAGACAGATGCAGCCTTCAGTGCAATCTCAAAAATTTTCAGAGTAGGCAACAGAATTCACAAGGATTTATCTGTCCTTTTATAGAAAATGTTTGCCAACTCCTGAAAGAATTGTTACCCACAAATGTCTACATAGTTCCAGCTAGACAAAACGGTAAGACTAGAGAAACATCCATGCAGAGGAAGAAATCACCCCATTCAAAGGGAAACAAATACTTTGATTCAAAGAGTAATTGGGCCGCTGTATGCTATCCATGGCCATTGCCATTGAGTCGATTTCAACCATTGGCAACCCTCTAGGACAGAGTAGAACTGCCCTCCAGGTTTTCCAAGGCTGTGATTTCCCCCCCAACAGTTTTATTGGCACATAATTTACATATCATATAATTTAATAGTTCAATCAAAGACTCTATTCTTTATGGAACCAGACTGCCACATCTTTCTCCCATGGACCTGTATGTGGGTTTAAACTGCCACCTATTGGTTAGCAGCCTCACCACTGCACCGCCAGACTTCCTCCTCATGTAATAGGGCAGCTGAAAGGTAAAATCTGCACATAGGCCCACAGGAGACAGAAAATGCAGCAGTTAAAATTTGGACTCATGCAGCAGTTAAAATTTGGACTCAAAATCCAAACTGCTTAAATTTGAAACCCTGCTCAAATGGGTAATACCCTCTGCTGCTGACTGAAAGGTCGGGGGTTCAACTCTATGTAGAGGAGCCTCAAAAGAAAGACCTGGTTATCTGTTCCTCCAAATTCAGCCACTGAAAATCTTTCCAAGCACAGTCCTACTCTGACACACATGGGATCACCATGGGCCAGAGTCACCTGGCCAATAATTGGTGTTGGTGTGAGATTTTAATTAGCGAACATATAAGATTCTATAGGCAAAATATTGAATGATACAGGGAGCATCAAGAGAAGCTGGAAAGAATACCCAGAGTCACTGTACCAAAAAGAACCACATGACATTAAACTATTTCAGGAGGTAGCATATGAGCAGGAACCAATGGTGCTGAAGGAAGAAGTTCAAACTACACTGAGTGCATTAGCCAAAAACACTGAGGGGATACCCATTGAAATGTTTCAGAAGGCTGAAGAAGCACTGGACGCACTCACCTATTCCAGGCAATTTGGAAGACAGCTACTTATCCATCTGACTGGAAGAAAGCCATATTTGTGCCCATTCCAAAGAAAGGTGACCCAACAGAATGCTCAAACAATAGAACGATCATTGATATCACATGCAAGTAAAATTTTGCTTAAGATGAACCGTTGCAACAGTCCATTGACAAGGAACTGCCAGAGATATAGGCCAGATTCAGAAGAGGATGTAGAACAAGGGATATCAATTCTGATGTCAGAAGGATCTTGGATCAAAGCAGAGAATACCAGAAAGATGTTTACTTGTGTATCATTGACTATGCAAAGATCCACTGTGTGGACCATAATAAACTATGGGTACCCTTGAGAAGAATGGGGTTTCCAGAACACTTAATTGTGCTTTCGGAACTTAGATAAGGATCAAGAGGCAGCTGTGTGAACAGAACAAGGGAACACAGAGTGGTTTAAAATCAGGACACGTGTGTGTCAGGGTTGCAGCCCCTCACCACACTTGTTCAATCTGTCTGCTGAGCAGATCAGAGAAGCACGATTACATGAAGAAGAGTGGGGCACCACAGTTGCAGAAAGGCTTCTATTTAACAACCTGATGTATGCAGATGACAACCTCACTTGGTGGAAGTAAGGAAAACTTGGTGCACTTGCTGAGGAAGATTAAGGATTGTAGACTTCAGTATGGATTACAGCCCAATGTAAGCCAGACCCAAATCCTCACAACTGGGCCATAAGGTAATATCATGATAAATGGAGAAAGTTGAAGTTGTCAAGGATTTTGCCTTGCTTGGATCCACAGTCAGTGCTCACAGAGGCAGCAGTCAAGAGATCAAAAGATGTATTGCATTGTATAAATCTGCTACACAAGACCTCTTTAGAGTATTGAAAAGCCAGGATGTTACTTTGAAGACTAACACGTCTGCCTGATCCAAACCATCATATTCTCCATGACATCATATGCATATGACAGTTGGACAGTGAATAAGGAAGACCATAGGAGGTTCTTGCTGCATTTGAATTGTGGTGCTGGAGAAGAATATTGAAAGTACTGTGGACTGCTAAGAGGACAAACCTCTGTATTAGAAGAAGTAAGGCCAGAGTGCTCTTTAGAGACAAGGATAGCAAGACCTCAAGAGAGACCAGTCGCTGGAGAAGGGCATCATGTTTGGTAAAGTGGAGGGGCAGCAAAAAAGAGGAAGGCCTTCAGTGAGATGGTTTGACCCAGGGGCTGCATCAGTGGGTTCAGATATAGGAACAATTGCGAGGATAATGCAGGACCAAGCAGTATTCCGTTCTGTTGTGCACACGGTCACCATGGGTTGGAACTGACTCGATGGCACCTAACTACAATATATCTAAAGTGCTTGGAACAGTGTATAGCCAGCATGTAGTCAGTGCCATATGCATGTAAGCTGTTATTGAAATTATAGATTTATTAGAAGAGCATTTGGTTTGGGAATGGAATTAAGAATTCGACATGTTGGCTTTTTTAGCTGACTTACAAACAAGTCCATAGCTGCAAGGATATTTATAAACACTTGAGTAAAAGTAGGAAGTTCATTCTAAAGAAGGCATATTAGAACCAGTAGCTGTAGAATTCAAAGGTAACCCAGGAAGCACCCCATTGCAGGCCTTGGACATTAATTTTTTTTTTTTTTAGTGTTTATAAGTGTGCTTACAACTTGATAAAAGTGTGGCTGTCACCAGAGGATGTATACTGGTACAGATAGGAACTGGAAACACAGGGAATCCAAGACAGATGAACCCTTCAGGACCAGTGCTGAGAGTGGCGATACTGGGATCTACATATAACCCCCTCCCTGGGGGACGGGCAACAGAAAAGTAGGTGAAGGGAGACGTCAGACAGTGTAAGACATCACAAAATAATTTATAAATTATCAAGGGTTCATGGGGATAGGGAGGGGGAAAATGATCTGATACCAAGAGCTCAAGTAGAAAGCAAATGTTTTGAGAATGAGGGCAACAAATGTACAAATGTGCTTGACACAATGGATGGATGTATGGATTGTGATGAGTTGTACGAGCCCCCAATAAAATGATTTTTCTAAAAGTGTGGCTGTCAGTAAAAATATAATCTACACAGAAAGGACTAATCCAAATCCTTAGGAGACAACAGCCCTGCAGTGAGTGCTGTGATCACCTGGAACTCCATGCATGAATAAAGGACTTAAGCCCCCAGATGCTAGGGATCCTCTTTGAGAAGCACCCTAGCCGAAGCAAGCTGCCTCACCCAAACTACCTTTTCTCGGAAGAGCCCACAACTACTTACCAATCAGCATAGCATAGAAAGGTTTGGGCCTTTTGGTTTGGCAGGGATCAGACCTTTGAAGGGGCTACCAAACATCAGAAGTCATGGGTTGGTTGAGGGTTTTGTAGGGTATGCATCAAAGATGAGGCTATTTCTCACTTAATCCCACTTCTTCTCCCCTCCCTCAGAGGTGTTGATCCTAAGACACTTGTTTCAATACAGCAGTTCTCAACACGAGGGTCGTGACCCCTTTGGGGGTCGAACGATCCTTTCACAGGGGTTGCCCAATTCCTAACAGTAGCAAAATGACAGTTATGAAGTAGCAATGAAAATAATTTTATGGTTGGGGAGTGGGTGTCACCACAACATGAGGACCTGTATGACCGGGTTGCTGCATCAGGAACACTGAGAACCCCTGCCTTCATAGATTTCTGATTCAGGGTCTCTTTCCTGGGTTTCTCAACCTACCCGCCTCAGAACTTTGCACTGTTAGTGAAACACTAATTGTTCCCTTGCTGATTATTTTTAATTTGTATTTTGCTGATCACAAGTAAGTCGAACATCTTTTCACTGTTTCCTTTTGGGAGACTGTTCTGCAACAACTATGGCTACTCACTTCATCATCTCCTTGAGGTTTCTCCATCCTTCTCTGGGGTTTCGAGAGACAATGAGCTTGGAGTGCAGATGTTCACATTTAGGTGCAATAGCATCGACAGCTGGTGCTAAAACGTCATTGGTAATAATGCACTTGGCTTTGGATGACTGTAACCTGTAGAGGATGTCTCTTTGCGTCAATTGAGTGGTTCCCGTAATTAAAACTGTCCCTAAGGTAGCAGAAAAGAAAAAAAATGTTTAAAAGGAAGGATTTCCCTCATCGTGTTAGCTAGAGTCATATGAATCTGTTATATACAGAAGGGATTAATAAATTTACCAGGCAAGATATCTTTTTGAAAGGTTTGAATAGAGAGAGTTTACTGAAAGAGATGTTTTTGGAAAAGAAGTCCAAACGTCCCTTTACTAGTCTAAAGGGCCTGGCAGAATGTAGAGCCGAACCTCGTCTTTCCAGGTCTGTACATCCCAGCACTCCACTTTTCTTGTTGTGCCCTTGGCTCAGACCCTACACCCAAGCACCTATTCAGTCCTAGTGGAGTAAGTGTGAGTATCTTGTCTTGCTCCACTCAGCCTTTGCACCAACTCAGGTCACTTTCATCGACAAGGAAATGTATCTTCTCTGCCCTAAACCTCCCTTTGGGCTGAAGAGGTAAGTACTGGGAAGATGCATGTCTCCACCTCCCTTTTGTGTCCCAATTCTGCCAGATTGCTGCCATCACCACCTCCTCTTCCTTGGCCAGCCTCTGCCTACCTGCCCTTACCCCCGCCTCCCCTGCCTCAAGTAATATGATCCAAATTCTTTTGGAAGTTGAGGGGTGAAGACCCTCTTCTGTAACTACTTCCTGCTGACCAGGGGAGCAGCACTGAGGGGATTTGGATGGCGCCGCTTCTAGTCTCAATCTGGGTGAGGGGCTGCGGGAAAGAAAGCATCTGCCTGGAATCTGGTAGCAGCCCGGTCTAGGGGGTTGAGCCGCAGGCTGGAGTCTGTTCTCTGCACGATCATCCACAGCCTCACAGCGGCTGGCTATGGGTCTGTTGAAGGGTGGCGCTAGCCTTCCCCCTTTTAATAGTATTTTTCATTCGATACCACTGACTACATAAATGATATTAACCTTAGAATTACCAAATGACACATGGAGGTTGTTTATGTTATTTTTCAGGAGGCTGTTAATGCTGAGTGCAAAGCCAAGTGTGAAGAAGTCAGATGGTGCCCATCAGAAAGGATAGTGTCTGGGCTTGTCTTTTAGCAAGCAGCCATCTAAATGACATATCGGCTAAGTCCACATGGAAGAGGCACCCCAGCCTGTGTGATCAAAGAGTTATGATTAAAAACAATTTATGATCAGAGAGGGGGATTGTATTAGAGTTTAAATTCTGATCACCCTGGTTTGCAAAAGTGTATAAATGGCAGTGATAGCCCAAAATCCATTTGTAGAGTCCCCACATAAACTAAGTCTCCTTTGAATGCTTCTGATCACTAAACAAGGATATAGATAATCTTGCCCTTAGGCAGAATGCTTTGGAAAGTGGATACATCCATCCATCTCTAGCCAACCCAAGAAGGGGCAGACTCTCTCTTGGGGGCTTGGTTGAGGATGTCCTTGATGGAAGGCCAGCATGTACCTTACTTACTGGGGACTGTAAAGGGGGTTGCCTAGTCAGGAGTCCCACCCTTTCAGTTTGTTCCTGACTCCTTTGGTTGGAAGGCCCTGGACCAATCTTGTAAGCCCTTCTAACATGTCCCAATCATGCTCCCGTACCTGCTTTTGTGGTCCCCTTGGTAACTACAGTGCCTTGATCTGCCACCAGTCATGCTTTTATGGCAGTCCTCTTTGCCCACTTATGCCCTTTTTAAAGCTTGGTATCAATGAAGCCTTGGATGCCATTTCAACCCCCTGATGGTGATCTCCCTCACCCAGATGATATGTCTGCATCTTTGTATTGTCTTTGTCTCTCTTAAGACTTAATAAGTTCTCTTTATATTCAAGATGAGGCCTCTTTTGTATCTTAAAACAAGCTTGAAAGGAGTTTTAATGGCAAGGTAGTATTACCTAGGGGGATCACAATATCACAAAATGTGTATGAACTGTTGAAGAATTTTTAAAAAGTTGCAAACTTTCATCCAAATTACAATACAAAACCTCAAAACAAAACACGTTATAGATTAAATTTTACATCCTCCCCAAATATATGTTGGAATTTTAATCCCTATCCCCGTGGCTGCAATGTAATGCAATGAATTGAACATTTAATTGAAAAGTCAGGAAAGAAGGGAGGAAGGAAGGAAGAGATGTTTCAGGCATCAGACCACTGCCACAGAGTCAATTCTGACTCATAGACACCGATAGAACAAAGTAGAACTGTCTCATTGGGTTTCCAAAGTTGTAATCTTTACAGAAACAGACTGACACCTATTTCTCCTTCAGGGTAGCTAGGAAGTCCAAACTACCAGCCCTTTGGCTAACAGGTGAGCACTTCAACCACTGCACTACCAGGATGCTTGTATTGTAAGCAGGCACAAAAGCACTGGGCAGCTAACTCAAGGCTGGCAGTTCAAACTCACCAGCTTCTCTCAAAAAAATGAGACGCACTTACACCGGTAAGGCTTGACAGCCTCAGAAACCCTATGGAGCAGTTCTAACCTATAGGATCACTTTGAGTCAGAAACCCCTTGATGGCAATGTTTTTGTTTCTTTTTTTATGGTCCCTTGGAGAAAGGGGACTCTTGACAGTACTCAACTTTACACTGGCCTCTTTTCATTTTCTCAAACCAAGTTATTTTCTACTTCAGGGAATTTGCACTTGTGTGTTCATTTTCCAAGATGCCCTGGTGGCACAGTGGTTAAAGCGCTCAACTGAAAACGGAAAGGTCAGCAGTTTAAGCCCACCAGCTGCTCCATGGGAGAAAAATATGGAGTCTACTTCTACCAAGAGGACAGCAGGAAGTCCTATGGGGCAGTTCTACTCTGTCCTCTAGGGTCACAAGGAATCAACATAATGGCAATGGGTTGGGTTGGGTTGGGTTAAAAAATCCTGGTACCGACCAATTGAATTTTGAAAGTCTCTTGCTTAGACCAAGCTCCTTGGTTGAACAGAGACAGGTGGGAGCCCCACACACATAAGACAAGGACTCTTAGTCACCCTTCTGGTCTAGGACTGAACTCATCCCTGTGTAGAATAATCAACCATTTAAGAGCAAAAGAAAGGCTTGAAGGTAAACAAGCGGTCATCTACTTCAGAAGCAACAAAGCCCACATGGAGGAAGCACACTAACCTGTGCGATCACGTGGTGTCAAGGGGATCAGGTATCAGGCATCATCAGAACAAAAAATCTTACCATAGTGAATGAAGGGGGAGTGCGGAGTGGAGACCCAAAGCACATTTGTAGGCCACTGGACATCCCCTTACAGAAGGGTTTCGGGGAGGGGCGAGCCAGTCTGGGTGTGATGTAGCAACGATGAAAAATACAGCTTTCCTCTAGTTCCTCAATGTTTCCTCCCCAGCTCCACTATCATGATCCCAATTCGACCTTGCAAGTCTGGCTAGACCAGAGGATGTACACTGGTACAGATAGGAACTGAAAATACAGGGAATCCAGGGCGGATGATCCCTTCAGGACCAGTGGTGTGAGTGGTGATACTGGGAGGGTAGAAGGAGGGTTGGTTGGAAAGGGGGAACCGATTACAAGGATCTACATGTGACCTCCTCACTAGGGGGACGGACAACAGAAAAGTGGGTGAAGGGAGATGTCGGACAGGGCAAGATATGACAAAATAATAATTTATAAATTATCAAGCGTTCATGAGAAAGCGGGGAGGGAGGGGGGAAAATGAGGACCTGATGCCAGGGGCTTAAGTGGAGAGCAAATGTTTTGAGAACGATGAGGGCAATGAATGTACAAATGTGCTTGACACAATCGATGTATGTATGGATTGTGATAAGAGTTGTATGAGCCCCCAATAAAACAATTTTAAAAAAAAGAGCGAAAGAGCAGTATCTTGTGTCAACTTGAAGATATGTCAATGTGGGGTCATCATCCACAACCAAATGGGTCGTAAGAGGCAGTTGTGTAATTGAAGGGTAAGTTAAAGAAACAACAGACAAGACATGGAAGTGCTCACCTCTTCTATGGAATCCGGAACCAGAGAAAGTTGAATGTATTCTCTCACAGACTTATATAATAATCTCAGGCTCACAAGACACACTTAACAGGAAGGGGATGTGTTAGAGGCGTACACATAACAGGAAGGGGACAAGATAGGGGTATACATGCAGCAGGAAGGTACATATGTATCAAGATGGGTGGGTTCTAGATCCTTGGCCATCTGTGAGCTGGCTTGACTTTGTGTCCCTGAGAGCTTCTCCAGGGGAGCAATCTATGATCCTTATCAAAGGGAGTGGGGTGGTTTGATTACTCTTGATGGCAGACACCCTTCTGGCAGCTAACCTTCAAACATATAGCAGCAACCATGTGCTTGCAAGCAGCATCTTAAAATTGGCATTATTACAGGGGACGTTGAGGGGAATAATGCTTAGGAGAATGTGACTGAGATTCATCTCCAACTCATGAACATGAAGGGCTTCCTCCACCAGAGTCTACCCCTCAGATTCTTAATTCTGAGCGTAGAGAATTTGTCTGCATACCCTCTCTCCCCAGTTCTCAGTTTCCCACATGTGAAGACCTTGGTAAAAACCCAAAGAACCTATGTAGTGCTGTTGATTAGGCTGGTAATTGCGCTAGGGGTATACACGTGGCCAGCAAGGCCAGTGGTTCAAATCAAACCCACTAGCTTCTCCATGGGAAAAATATGAGGGTGTCTGCACCCATAAAGCTTTACAGTCTTGGAAACCGTATATAGAACCGTCTGTCTCATAGAGGCCGCGGTCTTTAAGGAGGTCGACTGCCACAGCTGTCTCCTTCGGAGTAGCTGGTGGGTGCTACGTTTAGATCAGCAGCCCAGTGTTTAACCACTGTGCCACCAGGACTGCCTTTGGAGATACATCAGAAGCCAATTTGATCAGATAAGAAGGGAGGAGTCACAGGCTGAGAGCATCCAATAGATGGTCATGAAGAGGGGAAATAAAGAAGGAAGCCAAACGGGTGGGTGGGCATATGACAATTGTGGATACTCTGAAATTCAGATGCCCATGAGTCCTATAAGGAGTCCTGGTTGGACTGCTGGTCAGGCATTGGACTGCTAACTTCAAGGTCAGCAGTTCAAACCCAGCAGCCACCCTGCAGGGAAAAAAATGAGGCTACTTGCTCACATAAAGATGTATAGGCTTGGAAAATGTTGCGATAACCTATGTTCAAATATGCTCGACACAACTGATGTTATAAGAGCTGTCAGAGCCCCCCAATAAAATGATTTAAATAAAATAGTTTTTAAAAGGTTGATGTAAGTCAAAATTGACTTTTAGGCAGTGGGGTTTTTTTGTTTGCTTGTTTGCTTGATTTGGGTATGGGTCCTCTAGGAGAAAAGCATTAGGTATAAGAAGAGTGTTCGAGTGTTGATTTTCATTTGTTGAACAAAATTATCACAAACCAATCGAAATCCTAATTCAGATCATGGTGTCCGCATGTGTGCAGAGTAAAACTCTTTCACAGCATTTTCAAAGATGTGACCCTTTCAGAAGTAAATTGCCAGGCCTGTTTTTAAATTGATTTAAACTGGCAACCTTTTGACTAGTAATTATGCGCTTAACTATTTGCGTCACCCAGGGCCTCCTTCAGACTAGAATGGACACACAACAACAACAACAGCAATATAGATCAAAGGATGACGTCTTTCCGACACATTTCTAAAGTTTCCAGGGTTAGTTCCGTGTTGTGCATGGTTATTCTTTCATTCATATAACTGAAAACAGCATCTCTTGATTCCTTAGGGGTTTTAGAAAATCTCCCATCCAGCTGCGTTTACATATGATCATAGTGTAGCCATGACTAACCTGTTCGGAGACAGGCCATATTTGCAAGCCACCACTCTGGGATCCTGGGCAGGATTGTAATTACTCGATCTCCCCTTTGCAGGGCACAGGCTTCTGTAAGAATATTGGCAAATTTCCTGGACAGAGATCCCAGTTCCTCAAAACTCCATCTCACCTCTTCTCCATGCCCATCTATCCACCAGAAGGCTGGATGAGAAGGTCTCTTGCCAGCCTACAAAAGAGAAGCCAGTCATGGATTTTAAGATTATTGTCCAGTTACATGAGACTTTTAAGCTGATCTAATGGAAGATTTTCTTGGAAGAAAGTGCCCAAGTCATCAATTAAAATATCCTTGAGTCTTTAAAACACCCTGGGCTTCTTTTCAGATGTTGGGAGAACTATGTCGTCTCTTCTGGTCCATGTCATGTCTCATTTAGTCTGGTCGGTTTTCTTTCCCCAAAGCTCACATTCTCGAATCCATTTATCTTCCTCTCAATACATTATCTATGCCTCGTTCCCTACCATATCTCTTAGAATCACCTTCCACTCTTTATTTTAAAAATCAGCCTAGAATTATACATTTATGAAACCCGGGGTTTCTTCATCATGGAATTACTGATATTTTGGACTGGATAATTGTTGGAATCCCTGTGTAGTGTAAACAACGGGCTTGGCTGCTAACCCAAAGGCTGGAGGTTCTAGTCCGCCCAGAGGAATGGTGGATGACAAAGAACTGGTGATCTACTTCTGAAAACGCAGCCATTGAAAACTACGGAGCACAGTTCTACTCAGCTATCTGTGGGATTCCGAGAGCCAGAATCTACTCTAGGCCAACTGGCTTTCTTTGTTTTCTTACTTCTTTGCTGTAGGCGCTGGGCTCTGCATTCTAGGATGTTTGGCATAATTCCTGACCTCTCCTACTCGATGGGAGTAGTATCTCTCCTACTCCATTCTTGACAACAAAAATATCTCTAGATAGGGCCACATATCTTCTGGGGGCAAAAGAACTTCCAGTTGAGAATGGCTGATGTCCACTGAGTGGTCTTTGTTCCGTACCTTTTCTATCTTGGTCCATTGATCCAGGACATCTTTGGCAAAGTTGAAATATTCTGGGATCTCCAGTGTGAAGTCCTGTTTCATGGATTCATAATTGGAGAAATTCTGAGGGGCCATTGTTCTATAATCTTTATATAACGTTCTAATAGAAACCGCGATGGCTGAGTGCTGAAAATACTTGGCATGAAGTACAATCTTCATGGTGACAAGAGGTGGCATGAGTCTGGGTGGATGTTTTAGCATTCAGGATTTCTACAGCGACGGATCCATCTGAAAAGACAAGCAAAAAGGACACATGTTGTTTCTGTAAAGTAGCCAGACACTACAGCAGCTAACTTTTGTTATTAATCATTTGGTAGCAATGTTACATGTATGTCACCATAATAAACATAAAATGGTCATAATGGGACCAGTTTTTGAGCACTCACTGTGTTCCAAACACTGAACTCAGTGTTTTACATACAATTTCTCATTAAATCCCCATTATACTATCATCTGCTTCACTGACAGAAAATGAGGCTCAGGGAGGCTGAGGGTTCATCATTACTTAAAGGCAGGAGCTGGATTTGAATGCAGGGTTCTCTGCTTTCAGCCCATTTTCCAGACTGCTACATACTCCTGCCCCTACCTACCAGTCAGGTGGTTGTGCGGAGGTGGCTAGAGTGTTACTGTGATAGTTGGTGCTATGTCGGTGGTTTCTCCAAATTTCCGGAGAGTTTCCAGACTAAGACAGACTAGAGGAAAGGCTCAGCAATCTGCTTCAATGGAAACCCCCTGGATCACAACAGATTTTTGTTTAACATCCTGCTGGACCGTGAGCGTCCCAGGTTAAAAGCCACTCAAAATACACCGTGGCTACAATGGTGGACTCATGATGCGTGATCACCACGAGCTGGGTGACTGTCAACTGCCAGCCCACCACGTGCATTTCTACAGTAAGGATCTGGGTCATCTGGTCAGTTCCTCTCGCCGAAAGCCCAGAGCTAAGCCCCTTTAACAGAGCTCATTGTTCACAGATGTCAAGGAGACTTCCATAGTGGAAGCTGACGCCAGAGCTAAAAGAACCAAGAGGAGTCCAGGATCTAATTCGGCTTAGCAGTGCTGTCAAAGATGGGGCATCCACAGCCCTCAGTTCCCATGCTTCCAAGAGGAGCCCATGTCACTTTCGGGCCCAGGTTTATCAGCGATGGGTTGAGACTGTATTTACGGGAGATGTAATCATAGGACTCTAGCCTTTATGACTTTTACACTTGATCTGAGCCCAACGGCTGAGAAGCAATCCTTTCTGACTTACGTGGGGGAGGCCCCTCTGGGTAACCCAACACTCCCTGCTTCAGTGGGAAATTACTGATTGCTATGTTAATTACTTGGCTGATGGCTCATACACCAGACTGTTAAAAATTGAGTGCTAGGTTCATGCGAGGCTCTTGTCTTTAGACTGTTAGCAATTTTCCAGATGACCTACAAGGGACAAGTATTACTCTCACAATCATTAACTTGTGGGAGTAATTATTTTTAACTGCAGTGCTAGCTGCGGGGTGGGGCAGGCAGCATGGCCATATGTAAACATTACTGGGCTGCTCCATTGCCCAGATACTTAAGGACAGATGTCAGCCCGAAGGCCTGTCCTAAATGGACCGGGTGTTCAGGCATCGTGCCGAAGAACCCCATGCATCGATCTGGGCACTTCTGATCCTCTCATCTAATTTGTGTGAGGACTTGATAAATCAATGAGCTTGAGTCTGGGATGTCATCCTGATTTGAGCCTCCCCGTGATTCCCCTGTGAAGAAAATTGAACCCCAGCGAAGGTGAGCAACTTGGTTTACCAGAGCACGTCAGAGCTAGAACTAGAATTCAAGTCTTTAGAGTGCCACTTAAATGTTCTCTAGAGCAGTGTTTTCCAACCTTGGTCGTGTGTTGGAAGGGCCAAGAAAGATTTGTTTTTTCCAAAATTGCTAATGCCTGGGTCAGAATCTTTGGGGGTGTGAGGTCTGGGTATCATTGTTTTTTGAAGTTCCTCATAGGATTCCAAAATTGATGCTCACGGGTCGAGAGGTTGTAGTCTGTAAACCAGGAACATCACCACCTGGAAGATGGTTAGAAATTCCCAGGCCCCACTCCTGACTGTGGAGCAGGTAGGTTTTGACATTTAAATAAGGAACCCTAGTGATTGGTGTGCACATTAACGAGTGAGCAGCCCTCTGGCGTTGGCTCCTGGAATCATCTGATTACGCAATAGTGTCCCGGTTTTGCTGCTGCCCTGAACTTCAGTTTCACACTTTACCAACGGGGAAAATAATAGGACCTTTCTCAGAGTTGCTCTAAAGATGCAACGAGATCATGGGGGCAAGGTTCTTTGAATGGCGCCCTGTATGTGACTGCCCAGTAGAGCAGAGGTTAGAGTGGTTATCAACACTCAGTTTTTAGATTTAAATTTTCTCTATCTTTAAAGTTTGGGATACTGCCTTTATATGGTTCAAAATGTAGCATTCCTTTACCCACCCCTAGTCTCATGGCTGTCTCATGAACTCCACGCTCTTCCGAGTGTGTCACGATGGCTATATGTCTTGCTCCAGGGCCTCGTTATGTGTCTTCAAGCACATCTAACCACAGATTCTTATTTCGTAAACCCTTTGACACAATGAGGCCCCTAGAATACATACTCTTCTGGGCTTTTTAAAAAATCAGCACTGTTTCGGGGATCTTTCCACATCAGAACGTGTGTGTGTGTGTGTGTGTGTGTGTGTGTGTGTGTATGTGTGTGTTTCGTATGACAGCTGCATGGAATTCTGTGAAGGGTCCCACCGTATTTTCTTAACCCAGATGAGCATTTGACATATTTACATTGTTTTGATTTAGATATAATGTTGAAAGTATACCCTGATTCTTTCTCTTGTTACTTGGATGTGAAAACAAAACGTTCCATAAGAAGTATTAGAAGGTGGGGGGGGACACTCTGATCCTATTAAAATAAGAATCAGTCATTAATAAATACTATTTGATCCTATTTCAGGATGAACTATTTCAGGCACAGAGAATACAGTATAGAGGTGAATGAAAGGCAAAGTCCTTGCTCGGTGAGGAGAGAGGTCAGCGTAGTTAGTGAGTAAGGCAGTAAAGCAAAGAGGGTTCTCGAGGTTCTAGAGCGATCTGGCTGCCTTGTACTAGGTCATTTACAGTCCATTTCTTAATATTCTGTCAACAAGGACACACACGAGCACACCTCTTCGAGTTGGAAAATGGATTCATGAAGTCCTCAGATGTTCAGTGAGCACCTCCTCAGAGCCAGACCTGCACTAACGGCTGAGACACAGCTGTGAGCCCAGGGACAGATCACCCAATAAGCAATGTAAGCGTGGGTTTGCTGGGGAGTATTTACTGACCCACAGCGAAAGCCACTTTCACATAGAAGGAAAAAGCAACAACTCACTTTCCCATGGAAGGTAATCATGGGCTTCCTTTACATACACCCGTGCAACTGCTTATTAGACACCAGTAGGTACTTGCAAGTAAGCCCATGCTTAACTTGCTTCCTAGGTATGATGTCCCTGTTCGGGACTGTAAATGTGAAAAGAGGCTTTTTCTGAAGAAAAGGTAGGGAGGGGAGGCTGGGAGAGGGGCCAGACCTAAAAAGCAGAATCTTGATGTGGTTAAAGAAGAAAACAAATAAATAAAATTGTTTACCGCAGATGAGCCTCTGCTTACTTTGCTTCTTGGGTAACCTGACAGTATGTAAAAATGACACAGGTCCGGGAGGGTGGAGGGGGGGGTGGGCTGGAAAGGGGGAACCGATTAGAAGGATCTACATATAACCTCCTCCCTGGGGGA